AGAGAAAAGGGAGGCTCACCACTGACGGCCATGTTCGTGGCGCTCTGGGTGGGGAGCGGAGAAGGGAGCAGACGGACATACACCGTGTGTGATGTACATTATGAGCTGCCCGTTCAATGGGGAAGCATCCAGGCAGCAAGCAAAAATACACAATGATTAAGTCTTCTAAAACCTTACATATTTTTTGAGAGAAATAGTAAAGGAAGTAATTTCTAGACTGAAACAATTCTCCTCAAGGAGCTATTTGTAAACTGAGGTGAATGGCCGGGTGATGGATTGCTTGGAGGTGAAAGACCCAAGTAGGACTCTTCTAGATGGGGAAAACAGCATGGCCCTCTGTGTGAGTTGGGGTTCCCCAGAAAAACAGAACCAACAGGATGCATATCTCACACACCACAGGATTCTACTCATCTGACTAGGGAGGCTGACAGTCACGCCATCTGTGGTCTGCAAGCTGGTGAACCAGGGAAGCTGGTGTTGTCATTCAGTGTAAGTCTGAAGGCCTGAGAGGTGGAGGCTGATGGTGTGAGTCCCAGCTCAGTCTGAAGCCCAAGAGCAAGGGGTGGTGATGAATGAGGTGGGAGGAAATGGCTGCCCAGCTCCAGAGAAGGGGAAGCTCGCCCTCTCTCGCCTTTTTTGTTCTCATTGAAACAGATGATACAAACTTCTCTGCTTACCTGACTCGCTGAAGTGCGAATATCTTCTGAAACACTCACAGACACCCAGAAATAATGTTTTACCCACGCCGGGCACCCCTTCCACCAGCCCAGCTGACACATAAACCAGCCATCACAGTCTGCGGATTGTCTTAGCTCGCCAGCATCTCCTGCAACCATATCTAATCTTCAAATAAAATCGAGTTTATTCTTCACCTTGGAAACAGCAGAGCAGTCACCCCAGCCTGCCAGTGAAAGACAAGTCTGACTGGAATACAATTCTCAACGCTCCTTAGAAGTAGGGGTCACGACGCAGAGTTGCTTAGCCAAGGATGACAAACGGAAATACGGCATGCCTCCCCCGACATGGCAAGCAGTTCCCACAGGACCCCTGTTCATCCTCTCTCTCCACTGTACACAAGGACCCGTCCATGACCTCTGTGAGTGGAGGCCAGCAGGCGCTGGGCACGAGGACAAGCTGCTCTTCCTCTGCAGAGAGCAGAGGGGAGTTGGCAGCTCTACAGCATCTGGGAGCATTGCTCGTAGGAGCAGTCAGGGAAGAGAGGTGATTCCGCTCACCTGTGGAGACCACAGGCCGACTCGGACAGGTGAGCTGGGATTTGCTGGAACCTGAAAATTACTTGGGAGGCAGTGCTAGGCCCAGAAAGGGGAAGTTACTGGAGTGTGTAAACAGCACTTTGCAGCCTATCACCAGTTGCTGGGTGGAAAAAGTGAGAGTCAGCCAATGACAGTGGGGAAGAGACCCACAGGAGGACCAAGGATGGTGGTGGAGCGGCAGGCATGGCAGGGAGCGTGAGTGCAGACCCGGGCATCACGCTGAGAAGAGGCAACCAGTTCTTTGGCTGCTTCTCAGGAGACATTTATTTACGTAAGCCACTGAGTAGCATGAAGAGACAGGATTCTCCACTACACCTTCAAGGTGCCCCCCATGATGTATGCAAAAGACCAACTACAAGGGGCCTCCAGGGTGGTGCAAGGGGTTCAGTCTCAGCACTGTGGAGCTCTGGGCAGCTGCTGCAGCACGAGTTCTATCCCTGCCAGGGAGGGGCCCACACGGCTGGCAGACCTCTGCTGTCTCCCCGCTGCTCCCCTCAGCAGTGTCCTCCATCAATCTGCCTGTTCTGCTGCCCACTCTGTCTCTGATGGGTCCTCTCAGTCCCTCATACCTCTGGCCTGTAGCCCAGTTCTTGTTTGCATAAATAAATACATCTTCTAAAAAATAGCTACACAACATAATCTTTCTCAAAGTGAAGGTATCAGCATAGAATATTCATTTCCTATAAATCACAATTCCAACTTTCTGCCCCCCACCACCTCCCCAAGTCAAAAAGGTATTTTGATGCGTTTGAGAAAAAGGCGTGTGAGCTACTGGAGACATATGGAGGCCTCGCTGCCTGTGTCTCTATAAATATTTTATGTCTCTATAAATACTGGCAAAAAGAACATTGGGAATTATAAAGTACAAGAAATATTGCCTTATCACAAAAGGTAGAAAATATCTTAATAAAATCCTTTAGAAGATACTGAGTAAACGCATAAAAAATTATAAAGATGGAAAAGTTGCATTTCACTGTTTAGCTTCAGGTCAGTTTTCAAGTGTTAACAGTATTCTCTACATTTAAAAAGATAGCTTCCGTTATGGAAGAATGTCATAGACGGTGAAAGAATGGAACAAAGTATTTGTAATCAATATAACTTAGATGAATGTTTGATTCTCTAGATCATGAGATTTCATTAAAATGATCTTTTCAGCACACTTGGAATTTAAAATCTAATTTGAATCAATATTTACAAAGTCACGAAGGAAAAGCTGAGTAAGTATTAAAATCTGCAGAGGAACAACATTTTGAATGCAATCATTTCTACTACTCTTTGTCATGATTTCATTTAAAATACTTCTTAGATTTTACAATTAATTTCTTGGATTTACTTTTCTAAATACCAGTGATTGAAGAATGGTTTCCCTTCCACCAGACTTTCAATACGTTTTTAAAAATCTTGGTCTATTAAGCACATCTGTTCCCAACTCAAAAAAATCGCTCATCTTTCCATCAGTACTTCTTTGCCAGGCTATATTTGCTTAAATCTAAACAGTTTCAGGCATCTAAAAAGAATTGCACTTGTATTCAAAAATGTTTCTAGAGAGCAACAGTGAAAGCAAATGTCATCCAAATTTTGAGGAGTAAAACACGAGAATTCACCATGATACAATTTTTCTAGATTACCAATCAACTATATGGGACTATTTTGAATATTGACTATTTTACACTTCTCATTGCTCTAAATGTACTATGTTTATTCTGTAATGATAATTTATAAATTGTTATTTTACAAATACTAAGTAGTTTTATTTGTTCAGCTTTGAATACTTCAAAGCATTCCAAGATATTTTATAAAATAATATAAGTGCATGCTTACCTCAGAAAAGCTCTACCAATATACAAATTCCTTTCTAGGTAATGAAAAATACAGTTTCAAAATAATTCAGCATAAATAATCCTAGGTCAATAAATGTTGTCCTTCTTTATCTATTTATAATAACACCCCATCATTTACTTTAAGGCTAATTTTCCATTTATTCTGTCAGGGTCATTTTTATTCATTGCCCAAATTTTTAATTCCACTAAGCGAAACATGCACTCAAAAGTTCAGATGTTTGAATATGTTCTGACAACAACTTTAAGGTTTCTTTGGTCATGAAAATCCTAACATCTTTTTATTTAGAAAAACCATCACACATCTATTAGTACAATTTCTGTATGGGAATCAAATTATTGGTCCAATTTACAGTGCATAATCCTGCTTTGATTTTATCCTTTCATGAACAAAACTTGGCTGAGCAATGCAAAGAAGGTATTTTCCCATTTGAAATCCAAAATATCATCTTTGAATATAAAATATTCAATACATTCAACATATTACTTTGCAAACTAACTATAAGCGGTGAGTTTTTCAAAATTGTTAAGTGACTTGGGAAAAAAGCAGCAAATTAACGTCTGGTGTGCACTGCCCACTAGTGGTCATATGTGTTAAATAGCTGCTTTTTAATTAAATTGAAACCAATTCTTATACATTAATTTTCGCCATAAAATCTGACGCTCGTGAGACCATATTACACACATATTCTATGCATAACATGGCTTTTGTATTCTGACCTATTTTTCTCGTCTAACATCAATTTACTTTCAATGTTCACACCCTGAGACGTGTTTAGTTAGGTGCTAGGTAACTGTGAATATTGATGCTGGGAAATATACATATCATGCAAATCCATAGGACAGAAGTCCATATATAAATAATTCACCATTTAAGACAGAAACAACCTCCTTTGACACACTCATGATAATTCAGCAAGGAAATGATGCCTGGCCAGGGAGTGACCCACAGGGCACAGCAGACCTCTCCTGTCTCCCCACTGTTCCCCCCGGCAGTGGATTTCAGTGGCCCCACCTGTTCTGCTCCCCACTCTCTCTCTGGTGAATCCTCTCATCTCTACACCCCTGCATCTCTGGCCTATACCCAGCTCTTGCATGCATAAATAAATAATTCTTTAAAAAAGTCCCAATTACACAGCCGAGTTAAATCCTCAGCTAGTTTGGACAGCTGTCAGGACACATTCAGTCCGTGTGTGCATGTATGTGCAGGTAGATACATGTGTGTGCATCTGTACTGCACACCTACCAGATGTTAATCACATGTGGACCTCTAGCTCATCATTCCTGTTGCTGGGTTTTGTGTTACTCATGATTCTCTCCCACACACTGCCTAGCACAGTGCTTCAATGCCTACAAGGCATCTAACTGGTAAGGTTTAATAATGAATATAAATCAATCATTGAAGTCAAAGGTTTATGACAGCATGTAATCAATGCAAAGAAATGCAAAGGGAAGGTGTCAAGGCTACTGGATCAGAAGCTACTCATTAAAGACACCCGTTACTAAACGGGGAGGGGGGAGTGGGGGAGGAGGAGGAGGGAAATGCACGGGATTATGGTGATGGCACACGGGTGACTTGGTGATGGGAAACCCGAGGGGATTACCATTGAGATGGGGAAAAAATGTACAAAATGATGTAAAAATAAACTTTTGTAATTAAAAAAAAAAAGAAAAAAATAAAGATACCCGTTACTGAGGACAAGGTTTCTCAGGGCCTGGGTCTGACAAGTGTACTAGGGACCTCTGAGCTCAAACGTTCCTCTTCAGACGGAAACTCCATCTCTTGCCTTCTTTCCTCTCCTCTGCTGCGCCTGCCGCCCAGTCGGTCACACACGGGGACACTGCATTGCCTCGGTTCCATTTCCTCACGTGCGCCACGCCTCCTTACCTCATTCACGGTCTCGGCCTTCGATTCTTTCAGTTCTTCATACCTGAGTTTCCACACAGACAAAGCTGTTTCTAGCCGCACTATTTCTTTCTCCAAAGACGAGCGTGTTCTAAACAAGGAATTAAAAGAAACTAGGCTTACACCTTAAAAATAATTTGAGAACTGCATTCCAGTAGGATAGGAATAGATTTTCTATTTCCCTAATGTTTGATATTTTATTGTGTCTATTGTACTGACAGAAAACTTATTCCCACTTATCAAAAACTATAAATACTGCATAAAAGTTGAGTTCATTTGTTATTCTGTCAATTAACTTTACAGTAGGTTAAACACATTTAGTTTGTCAGTATCAAAAGAATTGACTTTCTGTCTACTTTCTCCCATTTTAGTCATGCAATTCTCTCAAAGCATCTTACTCATTTTATTTCCTTACATAGAAGAATATGTTTCTAACTTTAACATTTTTTTAAATCTAGCTTTATATTGTGACTGGATATGAATGAAGACAGAATATGACATGGTGTGACAGAGTATCAAGGAGCCTACCTAACAATTTCAGAAATCAATCACTAAAAGGGGATATAAAAATACTTCTAAAACATTTCCAATTTTATTTTAATGAAGCAATTTTCCAGGGCTCTTTGTCATCTAGTGTAACTGAAATTAATTTTTCACTTGCAGAAAAAGTGACGAAATAGGATTAAACTTGGCTCCTTGGATATCTTAATCATTGATTTTTTCCCCCCTATGCCCACATGCCTATTAGAGTCACTGAAAGTAATTGTTTATTTCTGGTTGTAATTAGCATCTGTTGACCTTTGCAGATGGCAGGGCCTCATCTGTGTGATTAGATTACTGTTCAAACGTGCTTGCTCTTTCTTGTACTTCCATGACATGCAATCCTTGGCTTTGCAAGGGGACCTCCATCATGTGGCAGATCCGAAGCTGACAGAACTCATGTGCCATCGCTAGAAAGGATTCCCCCAGTAAACGCTGTCCTGGGATCAAGCCATGAAGCAGCCCCCAGCCCCAGCTGACCAGGGAGCCAAGCACAGCAGATCCGGGGGCCTGACCCCTGTCGCCTTGTACCCAGATTGTGGACAAAAGAAAGTATTGTCTTAAGCCATGGAATTGCATGGGGTTTAATGCAGATAATACTATTTAAAAGTGGAATTCTGTTATGAACAATTCAGCAGAATGAAGTGAGGGACTAGCGACTGGATGGCTGGCAAAATAATGACAGAACATAAGTTGGGAAAATAATGTTGTGTCTTATTTCATGAGGAAACATGGTAAAATTGTCACTTTTTGTGTCTTGCAAGAGGAAAATATGTCTGGCGTGACGTATGGAAAGCTGGGGGGAAGTACCTGGTCAGACACTGGAAAGATTATAAAATTGGGCTCTCTCTCTTGTATTTTGGTCATTGTTATTCAACGTACATACAGGGCTGGCCCCTGCTCCCAGTGAGAGGTTCAAAACGTGGATCCTACAAGAGGCTCCCCTCGGAGCTCAGCCTACATCCACCAGTCCCCACACACTGCGGCAGCTTAAAGCTGCTTGCCAAGAGCCATTAGGAATCGGAGGTTGTCACAACAACCTTACTGGACTTTGATCTGTGTCAAAGAGGATGTTACTAGAATGATCTCAGCAGCATTCACAGAGCTAGAAGGTGTCTGCAGAACAAAACATTGAAAGCCATTTACATAATCACAAGGCTGACTGGTCTAGGTAGCAATACTATGCAGATAATACCAAAAGAATTAAGCTGTAAATATATTCACTTAATCCAATCACATGGCCAAGCAGTCGATTAAAGAATTACATAATTACTTTTGCATGAAATCAACCATAATATTGAAAGAATAAGAACAAATTAGGGCTTAATTTAACCTAGAAAGACGCACTACTTATAGCACTACAATTTGGAGGATTAACATAGAAAATATATTAAAATCAGCAGAAAAACAGGCCAGGTATAAAGGTCTCCCTCTTCCAGTATCGCCCTGGACTGCTCCTGCTTCAGATGAACAACCTCAGACAAGCTTCTGAGGAGAAGCCACCCAGCAGAGGGCAACAGCCAAGTTCATCCCCCTTCTTAGATGCTGAGTTTGGAATTTCAGAAAGAACAGAGTTAAGTACAGAGCTTACAAGCAGATAAGTAGCAATATTTTGTGTGAAATATAAAGAAATATGCACAGAATGTAAAAATCATTATATATTAAGACATTTATTTGCCATTTGGGGATTTTTGAAAGTCTGCAGAAAGGCATATTCGGTAATGAGTAATGCTGACCTAGACCTGTGAATTTACATTGAAAAATAATGAAATTAACTTCACTGAAATGTTTAAGAATCACAATATTTGTGATTTTTAAAATTTATTAGCATTACATGGGTAGAATACAGGAATGTTTTCTGTTTGTAATAAAAGTTTTAAAAGAAAGGATCATTTGAAAGTGTGGGAAAATCCAGAGTTCTTACATTCACGAATTAACATGTTGAAAAAGCAATGTCAGGTTTTTTGCATTACATTTTAATAAATCAAGGGATAATGTTAACAAAACTATTCACATTAACATAAAAATACTGTTCAAATTAAAAGTATTTATTATTACTGTAAATAAATGTTAATTCTTAAAATTATTATTAGAACTATTAAGGTAACTCATCTCTCAGAACTTTTATAATAAGTTCAAGAGAAACATTTCAAATTATGTATTAGTTTTAATTATACATAAATATTGGTATGCTATAAAGATGTAATTACTTCTAAAATGTATCTAGAATGTATCTAGACTTAGAATTACATTTAAAGCCTACCATGAGATAAAAGTAACAAGATTTTGCCCAAGTTATTTAAAAAAAAGATACATATTTGCATTCCTTTTTTAGGAAGACCAGTAACATTAAAACTATACTATTATTTATCTCATTAAGTATACATTCTAAGCTAAATAACTGGCATTTATTAGTTTATCCAAGGAAAACTGTGCTTTTATACTGTAAAAGGGTACAATTTAGTCCTAGAAGTGAGGAGAAAGGTGATTTGTAAAAAATATATATATATATTAATGTAATTTGTATATATTTTATACATGTATGTATGTATATATTTATATTTGTATATGTTTTTTATTTGTGTCTCATCAAGAATCATTTCTGTCACTGCATATTTAACTTCATGCAGCAGAGGGCACCCTTAAATCCTTGATTTTCTGGCTAATCAATTTATTCAATATTTTGATGTTATCAAATCCTCAAAATTGATTATTTATACAGTGATGTTTATCACTGAAGTTTAAACAATGTCAAACTACAAGATGTAGGAAAAAGACCTAACTTTACTCTAAAATATATTCCATAGCTTATGCACAAATTCTTTAGGCAAACAAAATTAATTATATAAAAGAGCAGAAAGAGTATTTTAAATGATACCAATTTTTAAGAGTCAGATTGCTAAATATATAAAATTTGCAAGCTCTAAAATATAAAATGTGGACCAAAGAGATGGTTATGTTTCTACACAGTGTTTCGATTACTTCTATGCAACATTTCGCTCCTTTGTTAACTGTCATCATCATATAGATGTTCCACATAACATGTGGAGAGCTAGACAGGAAGATTGATCCCAGCATTTTCAGGGATGAAAATTAGTATCTGAGAATAACAATTAATCATTTAAAAACTGTGTGAAATTTCATAGTAACACTCCTAATTGATATTTTCCTAAAGATCTATTAACATAAATTGTTTTGCCAGAAGAAAATCATTTACTTAGAATCCTCTACCTACCTAAGGAGGCAAAGTCTCTGCCTAGACCACAAAAATACAAGTGAGTCTCCACCAAGTGAAGTTTCTTCAAAGAAATAAAAAGAAGAAGCACGTTTTGCTCCAGAGTTCCACTTCAAAGGACAGGGTCAAAGGAAAGGCTATGATATCTACAGCCCCTGTTTTTTGCAAATTGTTGACAATGCCTAAGATGAAGAAAACCTTTGTTCATCCACACATCATTATATTTGAAAATGAGGCCAAAAAAATCCAGCCATTAAAAGAAGATACTTTTTCAATTACATGGATGAACTGGGAGGCCAATATGCAGATAAAATAAGACAGGGAGAGCGACACCATGTGGTTTCCCCACATGTGGAAGCTTAAAAACTAAACTCCAAGAACTAAAGAGTAAAGCAGAGGGAGCAGAGATGCTGCTCAGAGCGTGTGGACAAGCAGTTGTAAGCCGAAGGTCTTGGGACCTTCTGCAGGTCTCGGCAGCAGAATCGCCAATACTCTATTGCACTCTAAATCCGCTGAGAGAGTGGACCTTACGCACGCACTCACTACATGCACAGAAATGATAACTGGCGGGTGGTGGAGGTGCCAGGTAGCTTACTGGGGTCACCCTTTGACTACATATATAAACCTCATGTCATAAACCTTAAATATACGCCAAAATTAGGTATGCCAGTTAAACTTCAACAAACCTGGAAAAATACATACCACAAAGTATGTTTTAAAATGGCAAAATTTTACTTGCACGCGCCATTTGTAACAGTGAATAAATAAGCATGCTTCATTTTCTACTTTTTAATGATATCACATTAAATTGTACTTATCAGACCCGGGTGCCATTGGCTCACTATACTGAATGAGTTATATTGTATATTGCACAGTACATACGTCGTGGTGTGTACAGGAGACAGTACAGACGTCGTGGAATGTGCAGTGTGTGGGTTATAAACATACACTTCAAGCTCCCACTGATCTTTGAAGCATCATTTTCTGCATCTTCTTACTAAGAATTTAATATCATTTTATTACAAAATATCTTCACTTAATGAAGCACACGAAGTAATGGCAGTAATTTAATTTTCATACACAGGAAATAAATTAAGAAGATGAAACTGAAAGGCGAGGCCTCAACAACACAAAGCAGGCACTTTCCGAGGAATACTGATGCCCTCTGTAGTCCAACTTGAGAGCTAGTTCTAAATGTTAAAGACAGTAAACTAAACACGCTGGACCTCGTTGTCTCTCTTCCTGCAGGCTTGGTAGTGAGGGTTCTCACTTTCCCTTCACAGTCACATTCCCTTCACATTCAAATTCACTCCTCAGGAAGTCTTCTGCTGAGACATCAGACACCTACAAGTTCTCAGTAAATAGGATTTTTCAGAACCGGGGTAATTTTCCATAACAGTGAGCAGCACTCAGGCCTGTTACTGAAATGCCCCTGGGTGGAGGGGTGCCCCCGGGTTGACTCGCGTGCTCTGCTCACCAGAAAATTCTCCTGGTTGGAAACACAGGCCAACTTGGCGTTCACATTTTCTCATCTCAGGCCATGCACTGGCTGAGATTCCAAGGGACGAATTTAAATCTCCAACAGATGTGCAGTCACGGTGCATCCTATATCCTTGGGAAACTCTCTTGTGGTTGAATGAGGCTTGGCAGCTGCCTCATGGACCGCAGACTAATCTGCTATTTAAGGACAGAATCTTCAAGGTTGAGGTGGATTAGCCACCCCACCACCCCCACACACTCTAGCCTGACCCTTCTGCTCCACTGAAACTGCTGAGGTGGGAGCCTTTACATGCCCAGGGGACGCTGAAGGGGTCACCAGAGCCCTGCCCTTGAGTTGAGCGGCAAGCTGACCCGAGCGATCTGAGCCATCTCTCCTCCCCAACCTTGGTGTATTGCTCCACCTGCCACCACCCCAGAAAAAAGGGGTTGAACGTGAAAGGTTCACACAGTAGGGAGGACGCAAAGGGACAGGGAGGCCAGTAAAACCAAAAGCCAGTGCTCCCGAGCTTGATCCACTGGCCCCAGAGAGAATTGAAGGCAGAGAAGTCGCAAGAGGGAGGGGTAAGAGGGGTTTTTATAGGCCTAGGGAGGGGGAGAAATGGCCAGGTGGGAAATTTTGATGAGGAACTGGAACTTATTTTTCTGCCCGGGCTAGTGTTACCCAGTGGTGACAGACAAATCATGAGGTCATTGCGCACGAAGATCTGCTCCTGCTCGGGCGACTGTCCCTGCCGTGTGCCTAGGTCTGGCTGGAGCCGGACCCTGACTGAAGGATGAGACTCTGGAAGAGTTGTATGTTATTGAGCCACCTGCCCCTCTAAGTGGCTGAAACCTATGCAGGCCGCAGTATAAACACAGAGTACTGTGACACCCCACTACATCACCTTCCTCTCCTTGCTTTAAGTTCAATTTTCATGGGGTGCTCCCAAGTTTATAAAGTGATGGTGGCCTTTTCTTCCAAGGAAGTCAAAATTTGTATGTCTGTGCATGTGAGCCCAGGAGGAGGGCCTGTGTTCACGCAGGGCAGTGGTGTATGGGAGAGCAGGGGGTTCACCTCTGGAAGCCCAGGCTCATGTACTTCCTATCAAACCCACTGACGGAGTAGCATTATGAAAGGGGGTTGAGAGAATTTTGTAAGCACTAAAAAGCAAAATCCTTCTAAAAATAAGAGGCTGAATTTAGAATTGGATTAAGATCTACTGTTCAAGAATGGGTAAAAAAAATAAATTATAACATGGGTCCTGGTTCATGATTCCTGAGTAAATACTGTAGGTCACTGTTTCAATAACCACTGTGTGGGAAGCTTCACTACAAAACCAGAGGGGACTGGAATATAAGCTATTTGTATTTTTCCAAAGGAGACAACTGCAGCCTTAGTTAATGCAGTATCACAGATGGACAGTCAGAACCAAGAGGGAGATCCAGGTGGTCAAATCTAGGTCATTTAATGGCAGATTCAGGGCCTCTGCCTCTATCACAAATGGCCAGTGAGTAAAGCAACATTGTCTGTGCTCAACCTCACAAAATCTGAGTTGTCCACTATTAATATTAACATATATTTCACTTTAGTTGACTCATTGAAGTCTACTAATTCTGCAAAACTTGGGAAACTGACTAAGGTTTTCTAAATCATATACATTAAAAATTTAAATGTAAGAAATACTTGAATAATGAGATAGATAAGAACAAGGCTATTATCAAAGAATAATAAAAACTAACAAATCACATATGACTTTTTAAATGTATAAAGTGAATTATATATCAAACTTCTATTTTTTAATCTTAGAATTTAATGATCAGTCACGGTCATTATCAAGTACAAAGTAACGACTTAATTTTAGGAGGTCTGAAAATCAGAGTTAGAGACAATAGTTAGCACTTACTCTCTTTCCTTCCTTAAGACTTTTTGGAATTCATCCAACTGCCCCTGCAAAGCTGAAACTTCAGGCACTTCATTCTCCAAAGGCAGATTTTCCTCTTGAAGTCTTAATCCAGATTTCACTGTAGAGTTTTCAGAACCACCATCTTTGAACGCATCGGGATGATCTAGGTTGAGCTTAAGCTCTTCATCTATTCTTAGAGTATCAATAACCAAATCTTCTTCCTGGGAAGAAAAAAGCACAAAACTTTTAATACTGTGGCAACTTTATATTTCTTAGTAGAAAAATCATGAAGAAACAGATTGGGGCGGAGAGTTATTATTCAGCAATAAATGTCCATTTCTTTATCATTCTCTAATAGTGTTATATGCCCAAACGTGCTTTTGCATTCTCAGCTATTCCTTTTCTTTGAATTTTCTGCATTATGATAATAGAATTTATTTCTCAAAAGGTCTGCTTTAACTTTTAGTTTAAGTTTGGTTTTTCCAACCAGAGCTAAAAATAATACTGAATACATCTGAACAGCTATTTAATGACTTTATTCATTCCTCTTTTAAGTTTCTTTTGTCACCGGGCCCTTGAAAGCTTCAAAGTAAAACCAACTGGTTATTTTTTTAGCGACACGGGAAGAGAAGGTATGATACATTTTCAATAAACTCTGGAATTTTGAGTGCTGCTTGGACTACTTTAGTTTACTACCAGCCTCAAAAAGAAGCCAAGACTTAGGCTCCCTTGATCTTGGACTTCCAGCCTGAAGAGCTGAGAAAAGGAATTTCTGTTCCCGACCAGTCCTCTCCTGTAGCGTCCCAACCGCAGAAACTAACCGAGCTCCACTCGACCCAACAAAAGGAGAATCACTGCTTTCCAGATCCAACATCACCCTAGGCTCGTCATTTCCCATTCTTGCCATCACTCAATATGGCACCCGTCAGACCAGTAATCCCGATCACATAGTAACAACCCCCACTCTCAAGTCTTCTCTGCGTGTCCCCCCACCTCCCGCCCGCACTCTGTCCCCCCCGCTCACACACCTGCCCGCGCACCTGACTTTGGCCTCTGCGCACGCGGGATGCGCCCAAGAGCGTGGACGTCTTCAGGTCCCGGCTGAGCTCAGCTTCTCGTGTCCCCGGTGCCTGTGGTGCGCTCTGTTTCTTTTTGAGCGAACTCAACTCTTTCATGGTCATCTCCAGTTTTACTCGGAGCTGCCTCCCTTCCTCCCTGGCGCTGTTCCTCTCAGCTCGAACTTTGCTCCACTTTTCTCTCCAGTTGGCGGTGCAGTCCGACCACCAGCGCATGGTCTTCTCCATCTGAGCTGCTCGGGCTTTGACTTCCTGCAGTTCGCGCTGGCGCAGCTCTTCACAGAGGTCCCACTCGCTGGGGCTGCGCCAGTGCGCGCAGGTGCTGCGAGCCTGGAGGCCATGCAGGGGCCAGCAGGGGTGACGGGTCTCCCCAGGGGACGAGGCAGGCGCCGCCATGGCACCGGGTGGTTTCGGGGATGGCTGCTGCCTCTGGAAGATTTGCGTTTCCTCAATTAGCCGGTGAATGGAATCCAAATTCATATTCGTCTTCTCAGGCCTAAGACAGGGAATACAATTGACACTTGAATTTCCTTCATAACTGGATAAACGACATTTTAAAAAAGTTGATGCAAGCAGCGCATTCTTCAGTGTGCCTACTGTCCTCTCCCGTGGACTAAACATATACAGGAACATAGGCATTGGTCGGGAAAGAAGGAAGAAGGGGCGGGAGGGAGGAAACCGCTCACATTAAATTTTTTCATAGAAATAATAACACGAAGATAGCATTGGAAATGGTGTGTGATATGAATAATTCATTTTAACAGAGCCATTTCCACTCAGGACATACTTCTGATGACACAAGTGAGCCCCTCCCCTGCAGACAGAGCACCCCTGTTCAGGGCGATAGCAAAACCCCCCTTCCCCATCCCAGGGCTAAGTCTCCCCTGGTCTAGCTCTTCCATGCTGGCCTCCCCCTCGCGGGCCTCTCTCCAGTCTCAGGCTGCAGGGACCAGCGTCCACTGATGAGCTGCGAGGGAGTGTTCAACAGGAAGGTTTCCGGTCCACAAAAATAAAAGAATGTCAGGAGATAACCCTATCCTCTGGTTTTGTGCTGTCTGAGCAAGAACAGGATCTGGAAGAGAATGTCATCACCATTCTGTAACTTTTAAAGTGGTGGAACAGGGCCTCCGTGCTGACACAGGGTGTTAAAGTCTCAGTGCCAGCAACTGCAGCATGAGTTCCATCCCCAGCCAGGGAGGGACCCACAGGGCGCAGCAGACCTCTCCTGTCTCCCCACTGCTCCCCTAAGCCGTGGATTTCAGTGGATCTGCCCTGCTCTGTCTCTAGTGAATCATCTTACACCCCATTCCAAACCTCCCCACCCCCCACACCTATAGCCTACATCACAGCTCTTGTATGTATAATAAAAATAAATTTAAAAAAAATAGTAAAATGGTGGAACAGAAAGAAATTTATTGATTGAACTGCTGCACGGTAGCTAGAAAGTGAACCTTGTTTCCCTCACTCTGCTAGGGTGACGGCTTATATTTATGTAACTCTGATGGTTGGCTCTTCTGTTACTTACAGTCAGAAAGAAATCCAGGGGCCTTCCTAGTGGCACAGGTGTTAAAAACAGTGCTATCAAGCTATCCCTAGCCACTGAATTCCCGGCCAGGGAGCTGACCCACATGGTGCAGCAGACCTCTCCTGTCTCGCCCGCTGCTCCCCTCAGCAGTGTATTTCAGTGGATCTGCCTGATCTGCTCCCTACTCTGTCTCTGGGGAATCCTTGCACCTCCACCCCGCACATCTGACCTATACCCCAGTTCTTGTATGCATAAATAAATAATTCTTCAAAAAATCCAACTGATACCTGATTAATTTTCCTCTATGATTAATATCAAATAAGTACTAAAAATAAAATAGCATGAGTCAGACATGGTCTTTATCCTTAAATATCCTATGGTCCGGGGCCTTCCCTGGTGGTGCAACATGTTGAAGCTCAGTGCTACAATGCTGGCCACAGCCACTTCAGCACAAGTTCTATCCCCGGCCCCGGAGGTGACCCACATGGCTCAGCAGACCTCTCCTGACCCCCTTGCTTCTCCCCTGAGCAGACATATATAGATAAAAAAATAATTCATATAAGTGCACTTATTCAGTCAACTTCTTAATACATATTGTGTTGTCAATATCGGTATTGAGGATTATCACCCAAGAAGTGATTCCTAAAAATGAGGAGACGTCACAACACAGGCCACATGGAACAAGATCTTAGCAATTCCAAAATCTTCGAAAGGAATTAAAAACAGCTTTCCTGTTATATAGCAAAATAAATTAATTGGTAAATGCAAAGCCTTCTTACCATGTATTTATCCATTACTTTATTTAAATAGCAATATATTGAAGATCTAGTAAGTGGAATTATTTCCTTTAAACAAATATGTTAAACATGCAAGTTAATCTATACATTAATGAAGTTATGTGGTTCTAGAAGTTTACCCATTTTTATTATCAAATAAGAATTTCTGATATAAATAATCTTAGATAATGTTTTACATTCAACATTAATGCCTCTCATTTTTTTTGTTTTTATATAGTTAGAGATCATAAACTGTCTCCTATGAGCCATCTATTTAATCAGCTGAAAGGGTTTCGCTATGCCAATAAGCTGGAGAAAAGTGATTATATGCATTGGGGAAAAAAGATTATATAATATTAAATGTATATTACTTTCAGTTGTAGAAAAAACACATTATACCAAGTGTTTAATAGAAAAGCCAAACCAATTAACTTCTTATTATACTTATGATAATAATATAGATTTGTGGTTATAATTACTTTTAGTTAGCATTGGTATATATCCAATCAAATTTGAATTAGTGCTTATTTGGAGTAATTGTTCACTTCAGTTACTGTAATTCAGAGGGCAGTGTTAATACAACTGACCAAATTTCTTGGATCATTAATAAACTAAGAAAAATATTAAAAAAGGAAAGAACAAAAGGAATCCTTAATTAGAAGCATACTAAGTATATATGTGTATCTATATTTATATATACTCGTACATGAGTTATTCACTATTTCATGATATTTATTTTGCTTGGAATTCCAAAAGGAAGAGAGAAAATTCGTTTCAGCATATTAAATTTGCATTTATCCTTGCTATTTTTCAAAATAAATCAGTACAATAAAACTGTAATGTCTTTAAAAATGTCTCATTAAATCTTACTTCGCTAGTGTTTTGAAGACTCTATAATTGGATTCTGGTACTTTGAGATCTCGCCTACCAATTAACTATGTACTTTTCACATCTGACTAAACAAAACTGAGTGGGGTTTAATCACTCAGTCCTTGAACTTGAATCGTATTTCCAGTTCTAAAGAGTTTCTCAAGCCAGTGGAAATATAGATATTTAATTCTTATGTGTATTTGTTAAAGCATTCATCTTCCCGCCATACGTGTGTGCCCTTCATTTTTTATTTTGTGTGACTGCAAAAACATTTGTCAATGATTGTAGCACAAAGACTTTGAAGTGTGAGAAAATATTTGAAGGCTACTGACTCTTTGGCTTCTTATGCTGATTTTTGGGTTATTCTTACTACCAAACAAAATAGAGTTGAGCCCAAGGGACTTCATGGAGCTAACAGATATGGTTTCCAGGGTGTTTGTAGATGTCCACACTCATCAAGGTAGAGATCAGGTACATTAACTATGCTCCGTATTTTGTATCAGTTGCACCTCAGTGGCACTGTTAAATATGTCCACCCTATCAAACTACCATTATTTACACTATTACATTATATTACAAAAAGTATTTTTGAATACAGTACATAACTAACTAAACATGATGAGTCTATAATCTATGTTTATATTACTCAGCAAATTTCTTGCTGGTGCTTAATGTGTGCGACACTAGTCTCTAGGCCCTTGGTTCAAGTTCTGACTCTGCCACTTCATGGAAAGATGATCTTGGGCAAATTGTATAATCTGCCTATAACTCCTATCTTTATTTGTAAAAAAGACAGAAATAGCATATGCGTAAAGTTCTTATGAGTATTAAATCAAAACAGCTGTACTTTAACTGACTCACGCTGACCATCTTCCCAAGGTATGCAAATCACTGATATGTCACCTTGGACAATGCTAACACTGAACTTTGCTCAGCTTCTTTTCTCTCCCTTGCACTTTTAGGAAGCAGATAAGGTAAGTGAAATTTACAAAAATGTTGTAAATTGGATGCACATCTCAAAAAAGGATGTAAAAAGGATGCCGTCTCAATTCCTGTGTCATGTTAACATTCAGTGAATTGTCCAGGGCTCTATCATGTCCACCCCAGAGATGAATGAAGGAGGGCCAGGGTTCTGAAGTAACCACTCAGGTCACACAGTCAGAAGGAGTGGAGCCCACTTCACAATTAAGGAAATGTGCACCCGGTTACTACCTCCCTCCATAAAAACTGCCTGGCTTCAAATGATCATCTGTGTTAACCACATGAGTCCACCTTACTATGACAAGTATTTGGTAGTCTTCCATTTGGGGCATATCTGTGATCAAGTGTCTCCTGTTAGCTCACACCTGACGTGTTGCTTAGAGTGAATTTAATCACCTTCCAGTAGCTGAAAGGACCTGCAGCATCTGGGGCCTGTCAGTGTTCCCGCCTCCTCCACCGTCCTCACCTGTGCCGGGACCCCGGCCTTCTTGAGGTCCTGGCAGCCCAGCTGGCTTGCTCAAACCTCATCTCAAGAGTTGTGGGTGTTGGCAGAGCTTCAGGGTCATGAGCCTCGTCTGGAGTGGCCCCCTCTCCAGGCTTGTCATCCTCACGTAGCCTCTACCAGGCCAAAGCCTGACGGTCCTCCATCTTGTGAAGACCCTTCCTCTGTGTGGAAAATCTACTTTCTGCCTCTGCCTTGAAAGTGACAAAATAAACATGATTTCTGCCACCCTGGGGCCTTGCTGATCACCATAAGCAATAAATTAAACTAACAATCACACATCCTAACACTCTTTGAAGAAATAAACAGTGCATTGTGATTCAACACACAGCTATGTAATTAGAGAGTCTCCCTGAAGTGATGTGCTGTGGATTGTCTGCAGGAGGAAGAGCAGAGATAAAAACATTTTTGGCAGAAGTTACGCTATTGGGGTGGATAAGAGAGGGTCCAAAGGGGTTTTTGTTTTATTGTTTATACTTATTGCTTTCCATTAACTTATTGGAAATTCATTCTAAATGAAATCTCGGATTTGTCTTTAGTGAGAAGCATAGGACCTCAAGAGCACACAAAATCGTGATAACAAATCCCTCAGTAAGGAGAAAAGAGGTTATTGCAGATTCAGACACAACAAGGGATGGAACTGATGTCCACGTGCTGAGAAAATGAGCAAAGAACAGATCTCTTTTTAATATTCAGGAAAGAAAACCCTCACATGGCATTTTAAAACGTAGCCCATCAGAGCATGGATGAATGAAGAGTGGAATGGTTAGCATTGTATGAGGGTCGAAAGCATTTTTAGGACTCTTCTGCAAGAGCACCGAATATAAAATGGGAAAACGGCA